GTTGTTCATGGTTTATTCTTAATTAGGACAGATTAGGAACTAATAAATTGTTTATGTTTAAACTTGACTTAAAAAAATCTAATTTCCTTTATGAATATTTAGGGATATTAATGCTTCATGACTAGTGTAGATAGTTCTGACCAATACACAAAAGAAGACCTACTATTTATTCTACTTCCAGTTACTTGTAACCCACAGTAAGACATGCACGCATACACTCAAGAATATTTTCACCAATTTTGAATTTTAAAATATATTTTAAAATACAGCATAGTAACTTTATACTTTTGAGCAAATTGGAGCAGTCACATATATTGCATTAATTGTACTTTTTTTTATTCATCAAAACTGACTTTTTAAAATAACATTAGACACTAATAGATGTATTAATACATTTATTAACAAGTGACACAAGTATACATGTTAGAACTCTTGATATTTCTTGGAAATGTAATCAAACACTAGTTATGAAGTGTATCTATCTACATAAAGCAAGTTCTACACTATCAGTTAAGAAGAATGTAAGGATGGCGTATTGGCTGTTTGTAAGTTTCAGAAAAGGTATTTCCAGATGATAGGGTCAGCCTCATGAGTATAGTTAGATCTTGACGTATACTTTGGGAATTATACTCAAAAGCTATGTATTCATGAAACCAGTGAACAGTAGGATGGAATGGGTGAATCATCTTCTTGGAACACAGGGCCCAATTTTCAGTTTTTTCTTTGAATATCAAATTGCTGGTCACTTTTTCAGGATTTTCATCCAAACTATGTTTGGACTGACTGTATAAGTCTTACTGCCTTTTCAGAAATCTGCTTTTCTTTTTGTGCTTTTTCTTGTACTGTATAGCACGGTTCATGCACCTCTCTTTAGGTGGTGCACTTTAAAAACAAAAGTAAAATTTAGAAAATGGTTTTAACACTGCGTACCTAAAATTAGTAGTGTGCAACATTGACTGCCTTTGATTTGTAGTAAACGAGTGAAAAAGAACATGTTCTTGTAAAATGCTATAAAAGTCATTCAGGAATGAATACGGTTTCAGTACCGTTATCATGAACCTTTTTATGTGAGTGCACTGTCTAGAAGTGCTAAATGCATTTTCAAATTTTTAAAAATTCTTCAGATGATATATTTGAAATGTTTAAAATAATGCTGTGCTTGAAACATAGTGTAAAAAAAAAAAAAATGTGTGTCACTGTGATGTTGGTCCTCCCTGTGTGGACACAAGTAGAAAGTAAAAAACTTGGCAAGTCACCTTTGTGTGCAACTTGAGGCAGTGGTTATATACAATCAATTGACCTTTGTTATAACCTCTCCTTCCCCTCAAATTCTTGGTGAGAAAATAACAACCATCCCCAAATTGAAATCACTTCTGTGATCTGTGTGAATCACACCAGAACATGGGGGAGGAGAGTTGGCATGCAGTGCTATTGAAAATTGGGCTTGTTACTAGATCAGAACAACCTCCATGTATATGGTTAGGACAAAGTAATTAATGGAATCCTAGTATTTCTGCAAGTTTGGTGATTTTATAAAACTGGAATAGAAGCATTAACTCAGTGCTTAGTTCTAGTATTAGAAACCCCTTTGATGTAATGCCTTGTATTAACCCTTTGAGCATTGTAAGATATACAATGGGGGACAAAAGCCTTTCAGATCATTTATTTAGACTTAGACCGGTAAAATATACTCTATATCCAAATGTCTAATTATGCTGTTTTTTTAAAGGGGGGGTAGGAAGAGAAAGTGTTTCCACGCCGAACACTTGCATTTTATATACAACTCTTAATTTTTCTTCAAGAGGGCTTGATATATTTATTCCCAAATATTCACTGCCATCTAAGTAAGTGTACTGTTTACAGAAAAAAAAAAAAATCAGCTTTTCTAGCATCACATCATGACTCTCTAGAAAAGGAAGACAAATACATGGGCCTGTGAAGACCTATGTTTTTTTACATATTTCTGCACATTGAAGGTACCTAGATTGCCTTTAAAAGGTATGATAAAGAAAAGGTTACGTTTCTTTTTTTTCCCCAAAACAAAACAAAATATCTCACTTATTTAGCTTTAGAAAGTACAGGTGTAAATGAAGCCTTAGGAAGAAATGAGTTCGAGTGGATAAAGAGAAGCTGAACTCTTTGGGGGCAGTTAGGCTATTTGGAGTTCGATCACTCATAAAACGATTTCATTGGGAATTTCATTCAGAGCATAATTTTATCTATGCTCCAAAACTTTGCTACTTCTTTCAAAACTATTATATATAGATCGAATGGAGAGCAATGCACTTGATTTTAAGCTCATCTGTCAGGAGATACTATGACTACTGCTTCTGCTATCTCTCAGTGTCAGTCTGCTTACACCATTGCTGGTTTTGTTCAAGGGAATCTCTTCATGCACTTGATCCCTTTGTCCCCTGTGTGATCGAACACAAGAGCAGTGTTGTCTGCAGATGTGCTTGCGCTGCGCTAGCTGGGCGCAAATAAGAGTGTAACCTATCCCGATGTCTGGTAAAAGGACATCCATAGCATAGTGCAAGTATGCCGTAAACGTTGCTTTTTAGGCAGTTTAGGAAGTCAAACCATGCAAATTACTCATGTGTTAACATGCAATACTCAAAGGGTTTTAATTTAACTCTCTTCTTTTGAATTCTTCATGATGATTTACTGTAAATGCTTCTCAGTTTGCATGCCTTGATCATTGCTGCTAGTGATTTTATGTGCCAGTAGACCTGAGTTTAGTTTACCAATTTTACTTAAATAGTAAAAGCCACTTACAAAGTGACTGCCTAGGATATTTTTTTCTTTTATTTGAAGTAATTGAAGATACGTCTTTTTAAAAAAAAAAATGTGTTTTGTCTCTTATTTGGTTTTGATATTTGATTCTTTTTTTCCCTCTTTCTTTTTTTTTTTTAAATAAATTACAATATTGGGATTGGAAGCCCTGAGTAATGAAATCTTTGGTAAGAATTATTTATGTAGCTTAATAATGAGGACAACAAATCTCTGTTAGAATTTTTTGACTCTGGAGAGGAAAGAAAAAGAAAAAACTTCCATTGACTGTTGATAACCAAGTAAATTTTTTCTTCGATAAATTAGTATTTTTGATCAAATGATAATTGCCTTGTTTTAACCTGCTAAACACAATTTTAAATGACCCTATAGAGGAGGTATTGAACTTATTCGTTTAAAAAGCATCTTTTGTACCAAAGCAAATTTTTTTCTCTACTCATCTCCATCATTAATTTGGACCTATGGTGGTGACCAATGTGTTGGTTACAGAAACTTTGAGTGAGTGCCTTGAGAAAACCTGGAAATTTGTGCCTGAGGTGGTAAACTTTTAATTAGGTTAATTGTAGTGCTTACCAATCAGTAATTCTACTATCACTCAGGGCTTTCGTACCTTTTAGGTAAAACTTCTTTCATTGTGTTTTTTTAAAATACTGTATTTTTTTTTAAGTGCCATCATTTAAATTTCACTTAGTAAGTGGCAGATTACATTATTCAGTCCCACAAGCACAGAAACATTAGTAACACTAGGAGATATTTGAACATTTATTTTACAATCGACTGAATATATTATGTAAATGAGGTAAGCAACTTTTGTAGAGATTGTATGTGTGAGATAATGTAATGTTCTTTTCCAGTTTTTGGACTACAGTTGAATAAACTTTTTAATTATTTAAAAACATCTTTACCGAATAACATGTGATGGTTTTTTGTATAATGTATTTGATTTTGTAAATACGTATTTCCTGATGTGATTTTTGTGAGAAATGCTAAATCTTTTAGTATATCATGTCCTCTCAAAATTGGCAGGAGCTAAATAATAGTTTGTGGGCGATTTGTATTGTGTACTGTACAATAACTGGGGAACTTTTATAATTATAAAAATATATATTAACTTTTAGTGTGTTGTTTAAACAAATGACTGGAACATACTAAAGATATTAGTAGGATTTTTCTGAATATTTCAGACTTGAACTCAGGCTAGCTTTCTCGTGTTTTTCAAAACAAAATGGTGTCTTGTCTTTTAAAATCAATAAATTTGTTTCCTTGTTACAAATACATTTGAAATGGCTTGGTTTCTTTCCCCTCAAGTCATCCTCAGGAAGCTTATATTCCACTGCCTCGTCTAGAGGGAAGTTTCAGTGTCATCCATTAGCTTAGAAACAAAATTAAGTTGTTTTCCTTTTTCGTGTCAAATGAAATTGGCAATATTTACACATGAACAGCACAAAAAGAGAAAACAAAATTATAAGCCCAGCAGGGTACAAATCTTACCCTCAAAGAAAATTAGTGATTGAGTGCTATTTAATTTCAGAAGCTGTCAACATTTCCATTGTAAATCCAGATTTTTGGATGTTCATAATGTGTTTGTTTTATGTCACTTCACATTGATATTTGGCACCCACGTTCCTTACTTAGATTGAAAGCTTAGTAAAATTCATTTTAATCGATATAACAAGATACCCTATTCAGTTTTCTTTGTTTTGAATGCATACTGTAAAATATTGACTGATGTCTATTGTCTGCCAGCTTTAGTAACCACCACCACAGTCAAGTTTAGAAATATTTTACCCTGAAGACATTTAATTTTTTTAGATCATCATATTGGGCTGTCAGAAAAGTCTTAACATTATTTTTCTATATTTTTCTACTCAGATATGCGTTAGGACTTTTCCGATGACCCAATGTATAAAGCCTCCTAGAATGAGGATGTTATAGTTTAAACCCTAATGTCCCCCAAAGTTTTGTGTTTTAGAATTTGGTCTTAGTAGGCAGTGATTAGATGTACTCCAGAAATTCATGTGTTGGCTCTTGATTGTATAGATTATATTGTAAAGGTATTAAGTGAAAACTGAATTCCTTCATGGTATCCCAAAGTGAAACATTTGGGTACGATGATGTCAGTAGGGTGGGTATGTGATGGTTATGTTACATTGTGATGGAGTTACGGCATCAGTTAATGAAACTACAGCTTCAGAAAGTCACCTGGATACAGACCACACACTGCTTTGCTGAATGTTCTGCCTTTTGCTATCTTGTGATGCCCTTGGACTTTCCGGCCACCAAATTGTGAGTTATTAAGTTCTTTTTTTTTTTTTTTTTTTTATAATTAACTAGACTCAGGTATTTCTCTTAGCAGTACAATAACAGATTAAGATGAAAGAGTAGCCAATTCATTTGCGGGATTTCTTCAAAAAACAGAAATATAAAGCAGAAAATATTCTTTGTGAATCTCCAGCATATCATATCATAGCAAAAAGTTATCTCTAAAATGAAAACATTGACATCTTCGTCTACACAAACAAATTCATTCCAATTTATAAGGACATTTAACCCAGTAATTTAGAATTGTATCCCAGTCGGGACCAGCAGTTGACATAAAAGCTATGTTGCTGGACTCCCATGTAGTCGACTGCAGTTCGAATCCCAGATCCAGTGGCTTAAACTTTCGCCAGGCACGTGTGCGTGCATGCGTGCCCAAGATCCCAAGAGGAGAATGGAGGAGAAGGGATTGTGGCACGGTCATCCCCTTTGGCGGGTGATTTCTCACTTTCTGCCTCTCTCTGTCTTTCTGGTGAGCGCATGCGCCCTATAGCAAAAATCTCTCCAAAAAAATTTTTTAAAAAGTGTATCCCAATATTGTTATTTAATAAATAAAAGGCAGACAGTATTATAGTTTATGTTAAAGATAATACCAGACAAGAAAGAAAATGAATCTAACCAATTTGGACTTCTTTGTGTTGCAGCCATTACCACTTGTGAGATATGTGGAACTTTTGTACAAGAAATAAAAAGTTCCCAGGGCAAGCTCATGGCCTAGTAGTTAGAGGAGCCAGAGCCCCGATGGCCAACCAAGATTCCATTAACAGCCAACAGCTTGAAAAACATGCTCGGTGGGTGTGCCTAGTATCCCAGCAGGATGGAGAAATGGAGAAGGGATTGAGGCGTGATCATGCCCCACTGGTGGGTGTTCTCTCTTTCTCCCCTTTCCCTCTCTTTTTTTCCTCTGACTTATACTTGTGCCCTCTGACAATTAAAAAGTTACCAATTTTTTTTTTTTTTATCATATTGACTAAACAGAGGAACATGGATGGGGTAAGGAGAACCATCAACCAGGGCTTGTCATGCCTGGCCCTCCAGTTTGTCAGAATCTTGTGCACATGCACACACACCTAGTATGTTTCCAAGCTGACCCCAGGAATCTGAACTCATGCTTGGCCATGTGGCTTCTAGCAAAGCATCTCATTTTGTGGCTCACTGCACTACCTTAATACTTAGTTTTTATTGGAAATCTAGTCTTACAAATTACCTTGTAATTAGTGCATTTATTTCTCAGTTACACTATTATTTTTGCCATGGGTTCATAAGATTATTTTCCTCTGTGATGGAACTCAGCTATTTCAAGACTTGAACTCAGCCTGCTACCAGAGAAATGTCACTGGTTCAATTCACTAATTCAGTTAATCTATTATTTTTTCAATTTTGGTCTTAAAGTAATGCAGATTCTTATTCTCTTTCTCATATTCTGTCTCTAAATACAAGTAAGAGATACTGGCCTTTTTAAATTTTAATTTAATTTTATTTATTATTATTATTTTAAATATGCTAAAGGGCACATGTGCTCACCAGAGAGAAACAGAGAGAGAAAGGGAAAATGAGAAAGCAAGCTGCCAGGGTCAGGACTCAAACCACAGTTGAGCATGTGGAAATCCAGCACCTCAATCACCATGCCACCTGCTGGCCCCATAATGTTTTTTTTATTTATTTATTTATTTATTTATTTATTTATTTATTTATTTATTTATTTATTTACACCGAATCCGGGACACGAACTGCGGTCGACTACGTGGGAGTCCAGCAACATAGCCATTACGCTAACCGCTGGTTCCCCCCATAATGTTGTTTTTAAGACTCTAGAGTTCATGTAGTTCGTGTTCCATCACTGATAATTACATTAACCTGAAGGATACAAATATTCAGGTAAATGTGGAGAAGGCTCTTCAACAAGGGCATAAATGGGATCATGAAATCTGACCATTTCTATAATTTGAATGTATGCCTTTTTCTTTCTTTCTTTCTTTCTTTTGGCAAAGAAGTTTCATAATTTTCATCAGTGTACCCCAAAACTAAAACTCACTGTTCTAGAATGGTACCACAAAGTTTTAAACTTAATTTAAGCTTATAACATGGCAAGTCTAGAAATAGCACATTAATTACTAATAGCACTTTGGTTCCTTTTTATCAATAGTGAATAATAAACCCAAGCACTTTCATGAGTTTAGAAGATTATGTACTCCATCGGGTTCAAATGCCTGTGGTAAGGTCTTCAGACTCTGAAACCATTCACTCATGATTTTTTTTTTTTGAGAGGTTTTCGCTATAGGGCACGTGCGCTAGCCAGACAGAGAGAGACACAGAGATAGAAAGCGAGAAATCACCCCCCAGGGGGGATGGTCACGCCGCAATCCCTTCTCCTCCATTCTCCTCTCGGGATCTTGAGCATGCACGCACATGCGCCCGGCGTGAGTTTTAAGCCACCGGGTCCAGGACGCGAACCGCGGTCGACTACGTGGGAATCCAGCGACACAGCCATTATGCTAACTGCTAGTTCCCTCACTCTTGATTTTAATATTCAGATTGTAATGTAATAATTAGCACTGTCAAAGTCGAGATCGCAACATAGAGTCAGAGCTTCTGAAGAATTAACTGATGTAAAGTTATCAGTAATAGTTCATTTAGGATAAGAAATAGAATATTCCCATGGGAATTAAAGAAGGCTTGATGGGCTATTTGCAAGAATGTATTAAGAATTAAAGGAATTTTAATGATAAAGTACAGCCACCACCAGTTCTGTTCATATAAAATATGGGGGAAAGTTGAGTAGATAAGCTCCAAAATACAGATGTTATGTCCCTACTTCCACAGTTGGTCATTAAGCTTAACCTGATAACCACATCTTACTACTCTATGTTGCATATTCTTATTCTTTGCCTGCTGGATAGGTTCCTTACCTGACAGGGTGACTTAATCCTTCATTCCTTAGAACATTGCCTTTATTAGGTACCTTTTCTCACTGAGACTCCTGAGAGAATAGGCAGCAGACGCAGTTGTTGCCCCATTTATAAAGCAACCCAGTTTCCTTTCAGAACTGAGATCAACTACCCTAATTGCTAGGACGACTTCCTCCTCTTGGTTCAGGACCATGTGGAACCTAAATTGGCCAAGGGTCAGTGTTAGGGTTGTCACAGCTCCAATCTAATGAAGCTATGACTTGGTTCCCGTGTGGAAGAATATTGGAATATTCAAACATCCAAAGCCACTGAGCTCAATGCATGAAGCCTGAAAAGCAAAACAACTTTAAATGGTTCATTTAGTATAATAAAAGGACTACGCCCTCTCATCTCTATTTCTCGCATGCATTCTGGCTGCCACAGAAATTCACCACATATTGACAGACATCTTTTGTCTCCCAGCTAGCACCAGATCTGAGCCTACAGCAGGCTGTTCTGTAGAGTGAGCTGCTTCCGTGTGATGAGACAAATAAGATCCCTGAATTCAGTGGTAAAAGCTCACATCCCTTTGCCATGTCATTCTCTAATCAGATGTTATGTGGGTTAGCACATTCATGAATAAAACGTCTATAAATACAAAAATGGGAAGGCAAATCCATATGTAAAGTACTTATCTATTCCTTTAAGATCCTGTAAAATACAACTGCTAGTCAGTCCCCTGGGGAAGTACTGCCATGTCGGAGGCTCAGCAATAGCCTCTGTTGTTGGCAGGGTTGGACTCAGCAGTGGCAATGGGCCTAGCACG